ATAACCTACCCTACAAAGTACCTACCGATTAACCATTAGGTACAAAACAATGATTTGTGCCGACAGGCACTAAGTAACATTTACAATTAAGATGTGTATTTTCTACACCTTACATCTTAAACAATGTATGTACATACAGAGATGGCCCTTCACCGAAAATGATGACAAACATAATATATTGCTGAAATAATCAGAAGGATCAGGATCCATTTTAAAAATATGACTTTGAAAAGATCCTGCAAATTTTATAGGACACTTTTCCTAAAGCAAAAAATAAAAAAGTTAGTACTTATTTCTCGTTATATGTACTATAAATTTATTAATAAATAATTAATATTTCAAAGCACAAACAAACAGTTGATGTGAATATACAAACCTTTTGTTAAATTATGCATATTTAATATACCGGATGGTTTTTTGAACTCGAAAAGTAAGCACTCTACGAAAATAATGTCCACTCAAAATTTAATCATTCTGCGTAGGAAATACATTAGTGCCAAAATTAGTCCCTCTCTTCCCCTCCTTGTAGGTGAGGCAACTTTGAAATCTTAAATAGGAACCTCTTTTATTATTGCAGATTCGGTTCTGTAGTGATTTTTGGCTTTCAGTGCTTGTTTTTATCTTTAAGGATCAACATATCTTTAACAAAGTCGGCATTACATTTTATTTTTACAAATACTTTTATCAACAATCCACAGAACATAGAACATAACACATAAAATCTAAATACAACAAAAGTTATATATACTTAGTTGCCATCACAACAACTAACAAATATAAAATAACTTCTTTCAAAATATTAAAAATAATACCAACAGGTTCCTACGGCTAAAAGTATGTAGGATTTATCTAAAAAAAAATTTTTGATTCATGATAGATGGCGCTGCAATCGACGAAATTCAATTTTTTCCGAACCTATACATACGATGCTCCAATACGTTTGCAATAAAAAAAACTACCACGTTTTATGTAAATATTCGAAATTCATCGTTAAAAAAGTTTATTCATTTTGCACATTTCGAATAATTAGAAAATTGTTACCTGTAGAAATGTAAATGATTGGTGAATAAACTACCTTTAGTGTAACCTAGGAACAACGACGTGGACGTATTAGTTTTCTGTTTCCTCGGAGCATTTGCATGATTAACGTGAGTTCCTTTGCCTCTGACCTATAAGGGTACTTGATTTATGTGAGTCTCTTCGCATCCTGCTTATCAGGATGCTTGATTTCAATTAGAGTAAGTGCTCAAAATGACTTCGACTTTATTGCATTTATTCACACAACTGACAAGTGTGTCTGCTTGCTTAATCATATTCTCACGTGTTGTTTGTTCTTGTTTGTAAACTTTCTCTTTGAGATCGCTTCAGAAAAGAAAATCTGGTGATCTAGCAGGCCTATTTACAGGACCATCTCTACCGATCCTGCGACCATTGAAATAGCGATCAAGTGATTCACGTGCTACCACCGAATAGTGTGCTGAACAATCATGTTGAAACCACATGTTCTGTCGCACTTCTAAACTCAAGTCTTCATGTTGGTAGTTCATGTTCCAAACCGTATGCATAGGTTCGCAACAGGAGAAATCGAAAAAAAAATGAATTTTGTCGATTACAGCGACATCTATCATGAATCTAAAAAATATTTCAGACAAATCTTATGCACTTTTAGCCGTAGCGGAATGATTAAATTTTGGTTATGGGCATTTTTTTCGTAGAGTGCTTATTTAATTTGAAAGTTTCAGATTAAAAAAAATCACCGAATATATAATAATAATCGGTGGTCATTAATAAAAAATAGATCCTCAGAACGCACGGATTTGGAGACTCTGTCAAAAGTTCAATTCTTAACCCTGCAATACTTGTTAGGTGTCAATTTTTTAATTAACAATTTATTTATTCAAAATGTAATAAAATGACGTTCTCTATGATTCAAGATACCCCGAACCAATTTTTATAAAGATTTATTCGTATTTAATATTGGATATAATGGAAAATGTAACAGTATATTTCAATTTATTTCAATTATTTTATGTTTAGTCCTTTAATTTACTGTGAATTGATATTGAAAAAAAACATTTTGTACGAACAACTTAACACTTTTTCTTGTAAAATAATCTTCAGTAATTAAAAATAATGCAGTAGGCGACGCCAATAAGTGTACAAAAAAGTCGCGTTATTAGATTTCTGAATAAAAAAGATAAGCTAGTTTTAAAAAAATTGCCAATTAAACAAATCGTAGCAAATTTAGGATTTGTAATTTTGAGGAATTATTCGTTTCATAATAAGCCTACACACACACACACACCTACAATTCGGAACATCGTATATATAATTTGCCTTAACTTTCACTAAACAATATACTTATCATTTTATAATGTAATATATTTTTTCTCCTAATACTCTATATCTCGTGTGTACCGATCACGTTTAAACTACACTTTCTATAAGACTAAGGAAAGTTAATTATTCATTAATAAAAACTGCTAGCATAATAGTTTTATTACCTATATTACATATTTATACATTTCTAGAATCAAATGAAAAAAGTAAACTAAAGCAAAGTATATTTTCAACACGGAAACAATGATTTATTAACCTTTTTATTTAAATTTGTTAAACAAATTGATGTAGAATTACTATGTTACTTGAATTAAAACTATTGCAAAAAATTATATTATATATATTATATTATATTATTATATCATATTTTAATATGACAAACGGAACTGTATTTAATCATTCGAAATATATTTTTATTCATTTAGTTATTTCTTCATCGACCAGAGGAGTAATAAATGATATTAAATTCAAGCAGGAAGTTATATGTATGTTTTTTCTTTTATTATATCCATTTTTACCTTTGTGGAATTCTAATTGGTATTATTATGAAGAAAATGCAACCCCATTTAATGATTACTGAATTAAATTGAATTACAGAAAAACATTTAGTAATTTAAAGAAGATAGCAATATAAAAAATAATTAGGCTTATTAACAGCAAATCCATCTGTCACTCAGTTATTTATTTCTGTAAATTGAAAACAACCATATTTAACAAATACAATACGAGCAATAAATACAGTTTACACCAATGAATACAGTTTACATTTCAGTACATAAAAAGTAAAAAAAACTAATTAAAAGTACTTACGTGCTCAATTTTTTTTTCTAAACTTAACTTTTCTGACTTATTAATAATTCTCTAAGTAAAGTCTTATTAATTCACAGGCATAGAAAAAAAAAAAAACGTCTAAACCCAAGAGACCCCCAAGAGAAAAGTGAAATATTTGGGTGAAAACTGGCCCAAATATGGGTCAAAACTCATTTTTTCCTCAATATTGTCCAAATATATAAATTTCGTAATATTTTGAGGCGCTGAACACGATGCCATTAGTAAAATGTACCCATGACCTCTATATTTCCCAGAAAATCCATTATTTGGATACAAACTTGCCCAAATATGGGTCAAAACTTATTATTTCCTAAATTTTGTCCAAAGACATGTGGGTCTGTTGGGATTGAACTTTTTTTTGTGAGCCTGTGTGGCTCTACCCTATACTTTAATTAAATCAATTGCCTTATTACCCAGCTTCCACAAAGTACTTATCTCCCTAAATATATGGTGAAAAAAATCAGATTGATAGCTTTAATATTAAACCTGATAAATAATTAATAATTCCTAAAATATGTCAAACGGTCTATGCCGGTCACAGAGTATATGTGACGTCACACCACTCGACTAGCTTGACCCGACGGGACGGCTCAATGGGCTATTAATATAATTATCTCAAGTATATATGTGTAGTGTTTTCCTTGTTTATTAGTATTTTTCCACATGTGAAATAATTAATTGTTTTAAATAATTTAAGAAATTTTTGCGCCAACGGTATTTTTATTTAAATGTAGAATAAGCAATCTCTCGGATTTGTACAGGGGTCGTTAAAATAATATGTCATGTTCCTATAAAAATATTCCTTAAAGGGCACACTACGGAATATTTTTTTTTAATAATAACTTTTAAAATGCAAGTGCAATTTAACAGATACGACTCCAAAAAAATTGACGCATGAAAACAATTTGGCTTATTTGGTTTGCCAGGGACGGACTAGTTGTAGTACAATAATGTCAATTTTTTTTATACCCTTTACGATAAAGACAAAAATAATATTTATATAATATATATTATATATTATATTTTCAGATAGCTTGAACCTTAACATAAAAAGACACTGTTGGTTGATATCGATAAAATGAACTGTTTTCGAAACTGCTGTTTTTGTTTAATATGATTTTTATTACATAATTTTGTGTCGGTTTAACATGATTCTAATGTTATGCATTCCCAGCTCTGCAAATTGATAATTGTTGGATCCTCTGTAGTCCATAGTATTAAATAATAATTAAATTACACAAAATATTTTAAAAATTATTAGAAAAAAAAACGATTTTCAGGGTGTCTCTAGGGAAAACTTTTCAAGTTTTTTTAACGTTCCCTATATAAATTCAAAATTGCCCACATATTTTGGGACACTCTGTATATCACACACTTCAATTGAAGATTTATTTTTGAAAGATTATATTTCTGCAGATATAGCTCTAAAAATGCTCACTTTAATCTGGTGCATATTTGGAATATGGAGGCTTAATAGAAACTACACTAAAAGAAAAAATCATTTATCATTATCAATCATGTTATAGAATAATGCAAAAAGGTCTTCTTACGCTGGTTTTTTTCGTTTGGTATTTATTCTAGCCAATTGTTTATCTTAAATATTATTTTTGTAAGTAATAAATATGTATCTAATAATTTTTTGCACAGAAATATTAATATATTTGCATATCTAATTTTTGCATAGTAAATATATATAACGAATATTTCACTATAACTTTTATGCAAATATTATACTTCCAAATAGGAAGAAATTACAAGGGTTTTTGTTTGAAGCAAAAGCAAGAGAATATGGCCTAGCAATCAATGAAAATAAAACAAAATATATGGTGATGAAAAACAATACCAGAGGACTTCCAGCAAATTTAAATATTAGTTGCACTGCAAATAGGAAATATACGATAGAGAGAGTAGAACAAGTCGAATATCTAGGAGTAACGCTAACGTGTAAGGGCGATGAAGAAAAGGAAATAGAAAAAAGGTTAGCGAAAGGAAGTAAGGCTGCGGGAATGATTTCAAGATTTTTAAAAGCAAAGAATATAACAAGATCAACGAAAGTACAGGTGTACCAAGCAATATTAAGGCCTACAGTTATTTATGCATGCGAGACGTGGACAATGAGAAAAAAAGAGGAAAGCAAGCTAGAAGTCTGGGAACGAAAATTTTTGGAGGAATTAAAGTCCAAAACGAATTCAGGAGAAGAACAAATAAAGAAATAGAGGAGCTGTATAAAAACCCAAACATTGTTCAGGTGGTCAAAATGCAAAGAGCTAGATGGTTGGGGCACATAGCGAGGATGTCCGGCGAAAGGTGGGTTAAAAGAATACTGATACAAGGTGAAGGAGGAAAGAGAAGAAGAGGGCGACCGAGAAAAAGATGGCTGGAGGAAGTGACAAAAGACGTGAGGGATGTAGGTGTCAGGGATTGGAAGGAAGAGGCCCTGGATCGAAAAAGATGGGAAAGAAGAGTGAAAGATCTCATAGCCAAGGGCCGTTAGGCCTGTAGAGCTGATGTATATATATATACTTCCAAATGAATTGACAACAAAAAAAACTTTTTCTTCTCCTGGATAGTTTACATATTGGCGCTTATTCCCTTTTTTCACTACAATTATAGTTAACGTTTTGAAAAATCTTTTATCGTTTTCAAAATTTGTAAAGACATTTTTTTAACTAGGTTTGATTATTTAAATTTGTCTGCTTCCTTTTGTCTATGGCTTCCATAGTTAGAGATATCATATGATTTATGAGCAGTATCTATTACATCACAACAAAGCTTCCTTACGTTTTCCCGTGCTTTGTTTGTTTTGGTCACATCACTTTGAGGGACCATTTTTTTAAAACAAATTCTGATTTTTTGCACATTAACCAACTATAATGTATGGAGATAGGTAAAAGTTTTAAAATAAGGCTATCTGATACATATTTTTTAATATTAAATTTTTGTCAAACAAAAAAATTGTAGTAAAAAATAGCTTAGGGAATGTCTGTTTCAACCCCCTACAAGGGCCAGGAATTTTTGAAAAATTTTGAAAAGTTGCACATGCATTATTAGAAAATTTGTGTAAAATTTGACTATTATACCTTTTTGGTTTTGAAATAATAGCCGCTATACCATATTTTTTTGGAAATTTTGAGAGGCTGTATCTCCTAAAAGATGAACATTTGAAGGTCATTTTCATGCAAAATGTCTTCTTTTAGCTATACCTTCACCGGTACCATTTGTGCTACTTTTTTTGAAAACATTGAGTATTAAGAGCTTTTGACAAAGGATTAAGACTATTATTATTGTTATTATTAATTAAATAGTTCATGATTCGGGGAGGCTTTCCAAATTAATAATGTTTGTGTGTTCCGATGAGGTCAAAGTATGTACAGAAACAGTTAATATTCACCTAGCATTATTTTGATACATCCATAAAAGCAGTCGAGGCGATGAATAATCGCTTATACAGAAAATAAGGCCTTGGCATTATTTAATAAGCGATTTAAAAGGAGTACGGACTGCAAAAACATTTTCATCGAGCGGTACGTCGGAGATAAGTGAGATTATAAATGATCATTTCACAGCGAAACGGGTCATGGCGTTCTGTTAATATCGGCAGTCTTTAGATGCGATTAATTACCGATACGTGAAGTCTTCTGCCGCATTGAGACATGACACACATCGATTCACGTGAGCGGCGAGGTCAAAATTACTGGTAAAAGAAATAGAAAAAAAAACAAACATCATTGTCAAGGTAGCGTAGTATTTTCATGTAATTCGAACCTTGAAATTGAAAGAGTTTTTTGAAACACTGAAAGTTAAAGAAACTATATTTTTTAATAAAATGTTAGTTTTCACCAATGTGCTGTATTATATACACAGGGTGTTTCATAAGTAATGGATCACAGAGCAAGTGAATTCCGGATAAAAACTAATATTAGAAAAGTATAGGTATTATCAAAAATTTTTAATTTCCTTCGCAGCTATTGTGACATCGATTTCAAATTCGGTAAGAACGGGTTTGCTTCATAGGGTGAGCTATATACAACTTTTTTAGTGTAAAAAATTGCAAACATTTTTTTGTCTACCAGTTGGGAAAACACTCTTCTTTACTGAAAAGTCTTCCAGGTACTGTAAATTTACTTTCTTTTCTCCCTTTTCTGTCTTCGTTTTCATATTTTTATTTTTCTTCTTATAAAACAGCGGTCTTCAAACTTCTACGACACCTACAAAATTTTTGAATACATTTTTTACTGATTATACATACAATATATTTATAAATACTACGGTTAACAAAATAAATATTCCACTAAGTAAAAATTAAACTAAGACTTTAAATTTTAAAGTGGATAATGAAAAAACAGTGACAACGATGTGCTTGAATATGTTTATATAATATGTTGAAATCAGGTGCTATTATATCAGGTAAGTTGCAATCGCACTGCAAATTCTACATTAAGCTCATTGCGATACTTTGTTTTTGTCGCTACGTACATACGTCTTGTTAAGGTCTTATAGTGACTTATACCCATGTACTTATAAAAATAAAAAGTTTCAAGTAAAAGTATAAATTTGTTTGAATTTTGTAGTATCGATATTGTTAATTACAAAATTTTGATTTTTCGACTGAGTCGCGGAACCCCCAGAGAGGTTGTGGGCAACTCCACAGTTCCTCGGAACAGTTTGAATACCACTGCTCTAAAGCAAATTTCAATTTTCAATTCAGTAACTTGGATAATACATCAAACATAAAATTGTTTAAAAAAGATTCAGATATAAATTGTGGACTTTTTCATAATAAAATATATACAAGGTGTCCAAATTAACAAATATGGCCATCAATTATTTAATTTAATGACAATCCTGGTTTTGTTTGGGTTCTTTTTGAAGAGTGTGTTATTTTAACACTCTTCATTGTTGGTAGTCTAAGCTGGTGTTCTCTGCTGCTATTTTCACTATACAAACAACTTAAAACTTAACTTGTATGCTTAACGATAGAAAGTGCTTTTCAAAATAATGTCGTACTCTATTCGAGTTGTTATAAAATTAATTGCAACTCTACTCGTATAACATTTTCCAGCTCGATAAGAGGGGAGAGGGTAGATACTACCCCCTCCCCCCCCCCCCCCAAAAAAAAAACCGGAATTCACAATCTTATTCGTACAATTTTAGGGAATCTTCAAAAATTTCGAAGATATAAACCAAACTTTTAATTTTTTCAAAAGAAAATATTGACTTGTGACATTTTGATATGTGCTGTGAATTTCGAGTAAAAAATTCAACAACATAAGAAGCAAAAAGAAAGATATTTTTCATTCATATCGCATTAATGAACTTAGGACAAAAACACTTGCTAGTCGCGATTAGCACAGTTTCTTGCGGAATTTAGTATTAATCCTACATCGTTCTGAAACTACAACAAGACCATGGTTAACATTAATTACATGTCTTTTGACGAGATATATTTTCAACTAAGAATAAATTAACAAGTGGTCCAGACTTTATTCCTATTCCATCATGCAGATATAAAAAAACTATAGGCCTATTGGTTTACTATGTAATTTCGTAAAGGTCGCACTTATACTATTTTTAAAAACATTATATATAAAAGGTCAACTACTAATAATGTCATTTGTTTCAATCACACTTTCTTAATATCGTTGATCATTGCGGTCAAGCGGATGTAATATACGCCAACTTTTATTGTTACTGTACTGTTACCTTATTACCTCTGGAGTCTCCAGATTTGGGTCCTCTTTTCTTTTCTGTTTTCATTAATCACATTACTACTTTCGTCGTCCTAAGTTACAGACGACTTGAATTTTTTTTCTTCCGTGTCAAGTATTGAAGATTATGTTTATCTACAGGGTCATATAATAAGATAGTGGAATGACGAAGATTAAATTGTTTAAGTTTAGATATAAGTATCTAAATCCAAAGTCTTCTCATTTACGCCCAAAATGAATCTCATTCATTCAACTATGAGATTTATTCAGACATCAGGAGAAAGGTAGTGTTCTGTCATTTGTGTATGTGTCTCGGTATGGACTGACTCTCTAAAGGGTTCGGGAGTATACATTGACAGTAAATATGCTTTCTCAAATCACATTCAGAATTGGAATTTGTGATAAGACAAGGTCGTGACTTTCATGATAATAATGTATTGCTCAAATTATTTTATAAATATTTCAATGATTTCAGTTACTTTATAAAGGCTGATTCAGAACTTTAAAAAAAAATTAAATGTATAGGGGACTCTTACAAATACAATTTTGTAAAGGGCAGTTGGAAAATGATTTAAAAATACACTTCTGCACAGCACTGGAAACTGGCCCACTATAAAACCTGACATCGCACATTGTGACCAGCATGGCGTGATAAAATTTTAATTAATAAAATAATTTAACATACCTGATTTACAACAACTGTTCAAAATTTTGTCCACCGACATGTAAACACATTTGGGCCCGTCTTACTCAATTTCTACGAACTAACACAAATGTTGTCCTGTTTCACCATAACACAAATGTTTCACCATAAAACAAATGTTGTTTTCAATCACCATAAATTAAAACGATATCCATCAACTCCGAGTCCGAGATACACGCAAGCCAATTTTGACAATAACTACTAAAAAACTATTTTAAACACTATCGAAACGACGATTGTAGGTCAGATTTCAGTATTCGGAGTCGCTGAGGCCACATGACTCTCCATGCGTATTGCGACTAACGCTGGAGACTACAGTTATCCGGCGATGTAGTGCTCGAAAGTACTACAACTTATTATAATTTTTTTTCTCGGAAACTATAAGGATTTTACAATTTTTTTTTACAATCCATTTCTCATGCCGCAACTCGAAAGAAGTGACTCTAAGTTGACAAATTACGTGTTTTTTATAACCCATGAAAATCTAGACGACCTTTCGGAAAATAAACTCATATTTCATTCATTTGTTAACTGTAAAATAAAGGTCGAACGCGGAAAATTCAGTTTTGGGAAATTGCGCATTATTAAAATGCGATGGATGTTCATGAAATTTATGGAAAAGACAGTCAATCCAATGTCGATCATGTGTGCCAAAAGCCGTTTCGATTGACCGTGAAATTGTTACTCCTTTCGTTAGTTTTTTTGCAACTAATTGTTTAATCAGTAAACGTTAATTTTACAAGTTAATATCGTAGATATAGATTGTAATTAATCCAAAGAAACATATCGAAAAAGAAAATTTTTACAAAGTTGAAATTAAGTTCCTCTCTTTACTACTAACAAAGTAGGATGTGCAAAATAGCGTTATAAATAAATTGTTCCAGGGTTAGGCAAAAGCCGCTCAGGAATTCGCTCTTTTTGCATTAAATAGAGCTTATTTTTACAGTAATTAAAAAAAAGAAATCACCTACTCCTTTTTGTTCCCAAGATAGCTTTTTATAACTTTAATGTTTATATTCTGTGTCGAGAAAAGTCAACGTAATAGCCTACATTTTTATTTGTAACTTTTGTACATGGCATTGT